GCTGGAAAGCTTCTATGAATAAATGGCTCTGTGATGTCAGCCCAAGCAGGGCTCTGAGTGGCAGACCTCATATGGTAGTAACTTTCAAAGGCCTCAGAGATGTAGCTCTGATATTCCCTTTTCTTCCTAGGCAAATCTGGACACTGCCAGCCAAGAGCATCCACTGGTACTAGTGGGGGAAGGACCTCTCTAGGTGAGCTGCTTACCTGGGATGGGAGGGAGCTGGCGGAAATTTCTGCAAAGGCATGAAAATAGGCATAGGATCTGATAAAGAGCATGGATATTATACGGGAAATGATGACCACTCCCACATCTTAAAGCAGGAATGCTATTCTTTTCAATAAAACAACTTTTTTTTTTTTTTTGATACAGAATTTCACTCTTGTGACCCAGGCTGGAGTGTGATGACATGTTCTTGGCTCACTGCAACCTCTGCCTCCTAGGGTCAAGCAAGTCTCCTGCCTCAGCCCCCTGAGTAGCTGGGATTACAGGTGCACACAACCACACCTGGCTAATTTTGTATTTTTAGTAGAGACCGGGTTTCTCCATGTTGGTCAGGCTGGTCTCAAACTCCTGACCTCAGGTGATTCACCTTAACATAACTGCAAGTAGTAAAGTGCTGTTTCTGGCTGGGATTTCTGGATGGGCACATGAGGCAGCTACAGAGCGCTGCTTCATTTTGACAAGATGTTTTCAGATATCTTGAAGACTGACTTTGGATAGTTTTCTCTCTCTTTCTTTCCATTTGGTTGAGTGCAAATAGCACTTTTCTAATGTTAGCACCATAGCAGACTGTGCTGGGCATTAGAGGTTTAAAGTCCTTGATTTGACATATTATACTTAACCTCTCAGCAGCTCAGTTTCCCATAAGTAGAGAAAGATGACAATAATAATACCTTCCTCATATACAGTACTCAGAAAAATGGGCCATCTAAAAATGTCCACATCCAAATCCACAGAACCTGTGATTATGTTATTATCCATGGCAAAAGGGACATTGCAGAGGTGATTAAATTAAGCATCTTGAGATGGGGGATTATACTGGATTATCCAGGTGGGCACAAGTGTCCTTACCAAAGGCAGGTAAGGGCTGGACATGGTGGCTCATGCCTGTCATCCCATTACTTTGGGAGGCCAAGGCAGGAGGATCGCTTGAGCCCAGGAGTTTGAGACCAACTTGGGCAACGCAGCAAAACCCTACCTCTAAAAATTTTTTTAGAAATCAGTTGGGCATGGTGGCACATATCTGTAGTCCTAGCTATTCAGAAGGCTGAGGTGGGAGGATCCCTTGAGCCCAGGAGTAGGAGGCTGCAGTGAGCTATGATTGTGCCACTGCACTGCAGTTTGGGTGACAGAGTGTGACTTTGTCTCAAAAATAAAGGAGGGTAGAAAGGCCAGGAAGAGATTGGAAGATGCTACATGTCTGGCTTTGTAGCCACAAAGTTTATCTAAATAGATAAATAGACTAAATAGATAGACTTTGTTCTAGAAAGTCAGATGTGTAACCCCTACCTAAACAGACTTTGTAGGCAGAGTCTATTTAGATAGGAAGAGGGAAAGAAGAGAAAAATAAACTAAAAATTTCCTATTCTGTTCCCAAACTTGTACGATTTTTTTTTTAAATAGGAGTATAGCCTGTCTCACCCATGGCATGAACCTTAGAACTCTGTATTAAGATGGCTTTGTTATATAATGTTTCCAACAGATACTCATTTGCAGATGGTTTCAAAGACCGTCACAGCCATGATGGTTATTAGATGAATTAATTTAAAGATATGCATGGCCAAGTTTTGGGGCTCGGGGGCCTTATTTTAAAATTTCATTAAAATTCTTAATTGCTTACAGTTATATTTCATCTTAAGTCAGTGTAATTTGGTTTAGATGTGCAACTGGCATTTTTTCCATAGATGTCTTTGATACATCTCCAGGGACTTAGCTTTCAGAGAACTAACCAAATTTGAACTCATATAATAATGCATTCTCCTTTCCTTCTCTCTCTCTCTCTCTCTTTCTCTTTTTTTAAGATGGGGTTTCACTATGTTGCCAAGGTGGGATTCAAACTCCTGGGCTCACAGTATCCTCCTGCTTCAACCTCCCAAGTAGCTGGGTTAGGGGCATGAGCTACAGCCCCTGGCTCCTTTCCTTTTCTCTTAATAGCACATTCTTCAATTTTCATTGTTTTCCTGATTCTCCTATAAACATTTTAACTTCCTGCTAATCCGTTTTCCCTTTTTTCAGTGTTTATCACAATGTGTAAGAATGGAACTATTTATATGTTTATTTCTCTAAGGTTTGTCTCTTTTTCTAGCTTGTAAACTCCAGGACAGCAGGGATAATGTCTGTTCAACACTCTATACCCACAGCCTGGCACAGAGTAGTCACCTATCAAGCACTGCCCAAGAAATAGATAAATTTTCTTTCGAAGAAAAAAACCAATCAGAATTCATAATAATGTAGACATTTGATCTCCCCTGCATAATGTTACCTTTAGATCAGCAGAAGGTTTTGTGAAAGCTCACGGAGTACAGAGTATAAATGATGAGCACTTTAAACCGCAGGCTAAATGCATGTGATTACAAGTGAGACTCGTTATTGCATATGACATTTTACCTTTCTGTGATACAGAATTTTTGTTTTGAAGTTTGAAAAGGGGTTAACTCTTGCTAAGAAAAATGTGAAAGATATTGTTATACTAGAAAGCCAGAATGCACCACCCTACCACCCCCAATACCAGCAAAGGAAAAAAAAACACTAAAGCAAACCTTTCTGGAAACTGTAGGAAATAAGATTAATAAAATAGAAGTTCAGTAAATGTACCAAAACTCTGTTAATAGCATTTTTATCATTGATCTCTAAAAAACAAACAAAAAGAGAGATAATTATTTAATCCTATAGGATTTCTCTATTACAGATCAATCAAATCTTTTTTTTTAAATAAGCTATTCGCTATATATTTTTTTGCTTTCTAAATCCTGTCTCACTGAATGAATTAGAATAAGGGAGAAACAAATAGAACAAACCAAAGTTATGGAGAAAGTATGTGTGTGAACTTTATTTCATCATGAGAAAATTACTTCTGTGCAGTAACAGAGAATACTGATATCTACATGGTGATAGGTTTTTCTTTGTATTCAGATACATACCTTATATTTGTACACAATATATAAAATTCATGGAGGAAATTAATTTCTACAGTACAGTTTCTTTGTTGGAAGAGAACGTGTTCCGTTTGTTTCATCTAGAAAATGACCCCCAGTTCTGTGATTGTGGTACCAAGGATCGCAGTTCCAATCCTGTAATTTATTAAATTAGACACCATAATCTTATGAACATTAAAAGAAACTGAGGCGCTACATCCTCCTGCAGGATGAAATGAGAGACGTAAGTGCTCAGGCTGTTATGCTAATAACTGAATTTTAGCAGAATAGTATGATTCCCATGATGTATTATGAATAGAAATAGTTTTCCCGCAGATCTGGTAACACATATTAGCAACATTGCTGCAAATTTCTCTCTGCTCTGCAGGCATGCACTTCACTCTTCAATCAAACCACCTTGTACACACATGGGAAATGAGGTCATCACCAGCAAGGGCCTTCTGCATTGCATCTAGGAAAGACTCTTGGAGGCCTCTAGCAGTTATAATAGTATTCTGAGAAAAAAGGCAACTGCTCTCAAACTGATAGGTCATCCCAGAGAAAAGTTGCTAAAATGATAATTCTGGGGGAAACTCCAGCTACCACATCACTGTACTCCAAATGGGAACAGGTCATGGGCATTTTCCCTTAGCATATCCTTCTCTTGGAATAGCATCACTCAGAGACTGACAACTCCTCCCCAAAGCACTGTTTTAATGGCTAGGGACCATTCATCCTTGCTGTGGGATTCAAAATTGTGCTTGTTTTTAACCATGTGAAGCATTTTAGGGTGACTAGCACATGCTGAGGTTTGTGGAAAGTGGGGAAAAATATACCATCATAGTTCTTTTAACTAATGTCTTGAACAAAATCGACATAATTAATTCTGCAGAGGGAAGTTACAGAGCATCCTGGTGAGGTGGGGGGTGACTTCTCCAATTAAATGACACCCCAAGGTGTCACAATGCTTTGGCACCAGCCACAAATACCTCTTTGTACGTTTAATTTCATGTGTCTTGCTTGCTCTTAAAATGAAAATGTGAAAAGCCTCAGAGGTTATATCTGGCCATCAAATTCAAGCCTCTCATCTGAGACACATTACTTGTCTTTGATGACCAAAATATTTAAAGTATAGCTAAGAAGAAAACGTTCTCTAGAGATGAACCTATACGGTAGCCTTAGGCAGCCTAGCCAAGACTGGAGGGACTGACAAAGGTGAAAATAGTGGGTAATGTGAAGTTGCTGGTCTCTTCCTGTTTGGTGCCCACAGGAAGTCTCAATCCTGGTGCTGACCGCTTCATCTTTGGGTATGAAACGGAGGCGGTCTGAGTGGGTAAGCCGGGAGTGGCCAACAGGCCCTCTCTGAACAGCGCTAGCGCCCCACACTCATTTGAAACACATTCAGTCATACAAATCTGCAGCTGGAAAGAACCTAGCCCCACCCTCAGAACAAGCAAGTACTACAGAGCAATCTAGAATCACCTGGGCAAAACTGGCACATGATGTGTATCGGTGGAGAATGGGAGCCTGCTCTAGAGCCTAGATACATTTGTCTTACACACCAGGGGCACAGTCAGGCCTTCATTTCTCAGATTCTTCAACTGCAGCTTATTTAGAGTGTTATCAAAGGAAGCCGCCGGCCCGAGCCATTTGAATTGCCGATGTGGAATCTTTGGTTTGATCACATCCACATACCATAGGCTCTCTAAAGGCAGGAGAGGAACAGCGGCTCTGTGTAGAATGCAGAGCAAGTCATGGAAACACTTCAGGAATGTGGGCAGTGGTGGGGTTACCTCCGGGCTTGCCAGCCACTTTAGATGCCACGCAGTTCTCGCTCTGAGGGATACTGCTGAAGGGCCTTACCCTCGGACGTTTGGAGGACCAGGGTCTTGCTGTATGGGCTGACTCCTGTTTTGTTGAAGGCCTTGACACGAGCGTTGTATGTGCTGTTGAAGTGAAGGCCATCCACGGTGCACATTGTCTCCTTCCCCACATACACCTCCTGAGAGTCAGCAAACAACAGGAATGCACTTAGCATGTACCCTTGTGAGGGGTGAGGCAGGCAGTGCCACTCAATGGCTAGGATCAAGAGTCCTGGGCTCATTCTGATCTAGAATTGAATCCTGCCAGATATTGGGCCATTTAATTTACCTTTTTAGCTTCAGTTTCCTAATCTGTAAAATGGGATAATAATATCCACCATATGTGGTTGGTGTGAGGATTACTTAATGTCGTATAAGCAGATTAGCATTATGCCTTGTGTTCAGCATGGGCCAGGCAGCCTAATGAATGGTAGTTATTAGCAGCAAGGGCTTAAAAAAATAAAACTGAGTGTTTATAGTTAATAGATTACACCTATTAACTTGGCATTGATACAGTATATGACCCCTACTAAGTTCCTTATCCATCAATATGGTTTGTAAAAAACATGTTTGAAACCATGACAACAGGAAGGTAGTCTCTATCCTGTGTTTAGAACTCCACCGAAAACTTCAGGAACTGTCACAAAGATTACATGCGAAGCCACAGGGGGATAGGCTTTCATTGCTGTACAGAGGGAAGGGGGAGGAAACAGGGAAAGGAGGAAGAATGACATTTCAAAGGCTTAAAATAAATCCTAGCATAATGCATCTTTAGCTTAGGTTAGGCATTTGCCACCCTCTTCAGCTGTACACATGGCAAAATTATGCTGATGTAATGAATAAAAATAATTTGCATTCAAAGCATAGCCTTAAAATGATAACTCTCTGGTAGGATACCAAGAAGATTGGGGTCTTGGATTGCCCATCAGTTTCTTACTCCTGCTGGAATAACAAAAATTGGAATCTTATGCCCTCTCATTCAGTGCTTCTCAAACTTTACATGCGTCTGAATCACCCGAGGATCTTGTGAAATTGCAGTTGCTGATCCAGCAGGTATCTGGGGTGGAGTCTGGGATTTTGCATTTTTAACAAGTTCCCAGGTGAAGCCAGTGCTGCTGGGGGAGGACTGCACTTTGAGTAGAAGAAAAAGTCAAGACAAAATAAGAGAATTAATTTATCTAAAGAATTCAGAAAAACAGGAGAGTTTCTTTCCCAGGAGAAAAATAAGACAATAAACGGAAAAGAAAGGCCCCGAAAATGACACAGGAACTGAAGAGACAAAGTCAGGAATGAGAAACTGACAAATAGGATTTTACACACACACACACACACACACACACACACACACACACACACACAGCAAAATACATGAAATGGAACCTGAGGCTCTTATCTCGGAAAGAAAGAAATGAGATTTTATCATGCCAATAAATCAACATATATGTAAATAAGGCTTTTCTATCAAAAGAGAGAACCTTTGTTCTTAGGGAGAATTGTAGAAGACACAGTCCCCGCTCTCAGGTACTTAAACCTAGTCGGGGATCAAAAACACATTCGGGAAAAGGGGGCCTTAAGAGTCTTTGCTCTTGAAAGCTAGTGGCCCAGGTTTGGCCATTGATGGCCAGAAAAAAGCTTCATTTTCACGGGCCCGAAATTTTTTTAGACAGTGGTCTCCTCTTCATCAGTGAAGGAACTGGCCTCAGTCCCCTGAAGGGCTACTCCCTTGGGAAGCTCCAAGCATCAGAACTCCCAGGCAAAATGAGGATGGAAAGTAGGGTATCAGGGAGAGGATGGCTGAGAATGAAGTTCTGTATAAGAGAGAAACAGACACATGCTAACAGGCAGTGGCATATGGGAAGTACCACGGCCATGTCTTACCAAGAGGCCATCCTGTCCTACCTTCAGGGGGCAGCATGCACTTCTCAATGGGGTTAGGGCTTCCTTGCCTTGGGGAGGTAACAATCTTCTGGCACCAGTTCTATCTGGTGAAAGGCCCAGAAAAAAATCATAGAACTGCGGAAACCTTTGCTAGAAAGACTTCTTAGACTAGGGCAGCTATAACAGGAGATCATTTCCATTAACAGGAATGCCAATCAAAGACATCAGAAGCTGTGGATTGCAGAAAAAAATCTTGGACAATGGTTAATTATATTATTAACAATAGGCAATGATGGTAATAATAATAGCTAATAATGCATGCTGGCCATGTTCTAGGCAGCATGCTAAAAATTTTGTATGGATTATCTAATGGACTCTTAGCAACAAGGCATGAGATTCACACCATTGTTATCATCCCTCTCATTAGTAAATGAGGACCTGAAGACTCAAAGGGGTGATAATTAGGCACTGTCCACACAGCTAAGGTAGAGACTAACTTGAATGCAGACAGTCTGACTCTAGTACAGCATGTACTGTCTCTTAAGAAAAGTAGGGCAGTTTCAGAGACTGCTCCATCCACCTTCATGGTACAGGGAAAAGGCAGGTTTCTGTGAAGGGCAGGCAGGCCTTGCCAGGATGGCCTGTCGTCAGGAGAGAAGGGAAGCCAGCCCTAAGACTCCTTGGCAGGACCTTTGAGAGAGTCACTGGTTTGGGTTAAGAAGTAAGTAGTGGGCTCTCTACTGACCCGGAACTGACCACCGTTGCCATCATCCAGCTCCAGAATGTATCCATCGGCGGGCACCGTGGACAGAGGTGGCTGTTTCCAGGACAACGTAGCGCTGTTGTTGTGGGTACAACATTCCTCCAGCTGTAGGATAGGGGTTGCTGGGACTGGAGAGGAAGCTAAACAGAAATTAGTGTAACTCTGGCTTCTGTTAAGCTGCAGATATTCCAGTACCTTAGAATGACAAACATCCCCCTGATAAACACGTGGTTAGAAGTAGCTAGCCCGGGGTGCACAGGAGAACTGAACAGGATCCTTCACAGAGTCCCCGGGAATCAGACTGGCTCCTGAACTGCTGTGAGGCCTTTTTCTAAGCATCCTGTGGCCCTTCCCACCTTCGCTGTTGCTGTTGGAGGAGAGACAGGCATATTCACAGAATTGCTCTGTTTTCACCCCCTTGAGCACTGAAGACATCATCCTTAAAGGAAATGTTTTACATGGTTCCAAGTGAGATCAAACTTCTGAGGTACCTGAAATCATTTTCTCAAGGTAGCTATACCTCAAAAACAGCACTAGGTCAAGCCTACTCATTTTCGGGTTTACAACACCCAACTGTGAGCCTGGGAATCATGAGGGACGTGGCCTGGGGGCCTGAAGCATGACAAGGAGGCCCAAGATGTCTTTGCAGCCACGTGAGAGTATGTCATGCTGTTACGAGTCACAACACCCCCTTGCACATTTTATACTGTGACTCTTTTCTAGTACTTAAAACTGCAAATTAGTTCAGCCCTCAGACATATTAGTTATATCAGTGCTACTGAATATTAGTAATAATATTATTTAGTTACTGAATAATTAGTTACTGAAAAATCCCAGTTCTTCATATGTCAACTCAATATATGTAGCTGGGAAACATGTTTTAGTTACTGAGTAATCCCAGAAATATTAATTACTGAATAATCCAGTTCTTCATATTTAAACTCAATATAAGTAGCTTGGAACCATGATTTTAACAACTGTTTAAAAGATTTTTTCAGCACCAAAACATTGATTTGTTATTACTATTACTTTAGCACTTTAATAACAGGAAAGAACAGCTTGGACCACATCCAGGGCATTGATTTAATTCAGTGCCCAAATTGTTCATCATGGAAAACCTGGTATGCTGTACCAAAATTGGACTCTGTGTCTTGTGCACTGAATTAAATCAATGCCTTGTCAGTCATCCCAACCAAAACAGTGTTTAATTTTGCAGCAGTTTAGAAAACAGGTTCTATGGTGGATAACCTAGAAAACAAAAGCAGTGACTGTAATATAAGAAATGAGAAGGTGAGGCTGGGCAACTGTCTTATACTTAAGAAAAAACTGTGAGATATTATAATAAAGTCATGTCTGAGCTACTCAATCGAACATAGCTAAATCAAAATTAGTGTCTGTTAAAATTGGAGGCAATCGGTTTAGGAGAATAAATCGTGTTTTAAGTTTCAATGGCACAGGGTTTAGATGAAATCTTATCAAAGAGCTATGGCTACTGTAGTGTCAGAAGCCCAAGAAATCCAGATTTGGAGGAAAGGAAATAAATTCATTGTCTTGCTCAGTAAATAAACTACAGGACTGGTTGGAAAAGAAGGACACAGAACACAACTCCTTCTAATGAGAATATCTAGACATAAATAAGCATTACTCAGGAGGTATAACTGGAGGATTAACTTTAGGTCATATAACTACTCGGGACTTATCTTTTAATTTAAAATTTGTTTTCTTTATTAAAATACATTTTAAACATATTTACTGTGGAAGAAAAATACAGCAGGTTTAGACAAACCATTCTTTAAAGGGCTTGTAGAGACATGAATGATTCCCCCTGGGGGATATTTATTCTTAACTGTCCTTATTAGTTAGCACCTACCATGAAACAATTCCTTAGACTCTTATATTTCATTAGCTCCATATTAGTCTTTCTTTTTCCCTTTGTCCATGTTTCAGGCAAGTCTATATTTCATCAATTACAAAAATCAAAGAATACTATCACAGATGGTTTCAACTTAAATCATGCAAATGCTTACAATGCCTCTGATAAGAAACTCAAATGTACCTGTGTAGACATAGGGATAATTAAAAGAGTAACTGAAATACAGGATGTCACGGGTAATTAAAACATCAGAACTTAATTTATAAGTCCTTGGTGGATACAGTTTTAAAGACCAAAAGGATTTAAAAAAAAACGTCTAGATTCTCAATAATCTTCAGATCTTGATATTGTCCCCGATTTAGACAAATTAGCAAATGGACAAAAAAGCAAAGGGAGTGGAGAGGAAAAAAAACACAGAACTAACCCAGAGATACTTGCATCTGCCTAAATCTATTCCTCCGTGTGCTGAGAATTCGTTTTCCTTATTTATCCCCAGTGATGTATACAAAAGGCATATATGACAAAATTACAGCCTCATTAGCAGAGACTCAGGCTGACATTCTAGAAAAAGAGATTTTATGGGCGTGTTATGTTATCCTATTTAACTTCATTAGGCACAAAATACATGGCTTACTAGAAATGCAAAGTATTTTCCAATTGATGTATCTTTTATCGTTTGGAAAAGGATAGCATTAGAGTTCCTGGACTGAAATCTAAGGAAGGGCATTGTATTTCATTGAAACTCCTGTTACTGGGCTGTCATAGCTAACTGGATCTTTACCCTTTCGTGATTATTCTGGGGCAGCTTTTGTTTTTTCCTTAAGAACGAATTTTTCCTGACCTGATCAGGGTTTTAGCATTTATGTTTCTTTTAGTCTATAAAATCAACTTTTAGGCTAAAAATTCTCCTCTTAAAATACAAGGGGGCAGTTATTCTTACTGACTTCCTTAAAGAGGTCTGGCGGAGCTGTGGCTCAAAATTAAAATTTTTAGTAGCAGCTTCTTATACCAATGTTTTCAAATGTCTTCCCTTTTTAAGGCCACTCAATTTCAAATTTGATCTCACATTTTCTTTGTTTGTTTAATTTTTTTCTCTAATCTTTCAGATTGTGAACACTCACAATCCTCTAGAATTCCTCTGTGAAAGTGCACAGGTGGGTGGCAGGGACAAGTGAGAAGAGAAGCTGGGCTCCCAACCTCAAAAGGGAACACTAATCATAAGCAATGCTTTCAAGCACTTTACTGAATGCCAGGCAGTGTGGTGAGAGGTTTACAGATATTCACTCATTTAATTTTTATGACAATCTTATAGAGAGGGTATTGTTATTATCTTTATTTTGCAGCTGAGGAAATGGAAATAGTTTCCATTGTAAGGTTTTACAGCTCGTAAGTGGCAGGACTGGCATCTGATGCCAAGCAGCCTAGCTCCAGGGCTGTGTGCTTAGCATGGCATCACACTACCCCTCTCCAGTCTGGTGTTTAGCAACAGTGTACTGGAGTAAAGTCTCCATGTCTAATTCCCCAAGTTTCTGTTTCCTACAATGTGAACAATAAAGATTCCCCAAATGAAGATTTCATCTTCACAACTATGGTCGTCAGGAAGGCAATTTTACTGCATTATCTTCTCTGAAGGTTCATTTGTTGGCTGTCATTCCCCTTCACGGTGGCTGAACAATACAAATGGCATCTGAGGAAAGTTTAGGCTTCAGCAGAACTACAAGCTGTTTCTGGAAAGCTATTACCGGTACACTATTGAAGATAACCCTGAATGCATGTTTTGAGTCCATGCATTTCAGGCTAACTATCAGCATGAACAGATTACATGCAAGTGTGTGTGCTCATTCTATCCTGGCTAACCCTCTGGCAGCTTTCCCCCTATGATTTATAGGAGATTCTATTCAGATCACACTGTCCTTGCCCATGACCTTGGTGCATACACAGGGCTCTTACATTTAACTTGAGTCAATAAAAATAAATACACCCTTAGGTGAGTAGAGGCACTTAAAGGGATTAACAGCGAATGGTCTAAGAGCTAAAAAGGCTTGGTGGACTATTAGGTCATTGTTTTGTCCTGGTTCAGAATGAACAAACTGGCATTTCATTTCAGTACCATCTTGGGATTCTCTGTGTACTTAGACAATTCTGGGTTAATATTTATTGGTGGATGAAGTAGGTATCTGAAATCTCTGCTCAACCAAACAGTAAAGCCCTTGGCTGACTATGAAAAGATTTAAAATTTCCTTCCTGTGACCTGGAAAATAGCTGATTATACAACCTTAGAATTAAGTGGAAAATGTTTTTTAATTACTCTCTAATAAAAATAGAAGACAAAGCTTAATATGTTGTTTTCTATAAAAGAAAGGTCTGAAAGATCAAATGCCACTCCCTGTACTCTGGAAAGACAGAGATGATTTTCTAATCAAAATACAACCAGAAAACGTGCCATTACAATTTAGGGATATTTGAAAAAAGGTACCAGCTTTCTCCAAATAGATCTCTATTGCTTGAGGGTGGTGTAGAATCAGAACAGGCCAGTTAAATCCTTAGCTAATACGAGAATAAAACTTTAGATAGCGCATTCTCACTGAGTAGTAGCTATTCTGAGTGTAAATATGCAAAAGCCAAATGCAGACCTACTTCCTTTGGTATCAGCGACAACAACGCCATCTATGATGAGCTTTTGAAACCAGAGATGTTTGATAAAATTCTGAGTCAAGAAGTAAACCAATATATTAGTTATCATTTTGAGTCAGAACTTGAAATGCATACTTTAAATATATTTGGAAATATTTTAACTTCCTCCTGTAACTAACTTAGCACAATTAGAAAATATATGTTGAGGCTGGACACAGTGGCTCAGGCCTGTAATCCCAGCACTTTGGGAGGCTGAGGTGGGCAGATCATGAATTTGAGACCAGCCTTGACCAACATGGTGAAACCCCCATCTCTAATAAAAATACAAAAATTAGCCAGGTTTGATGGCGCACACCTGTAATTCCAGCTACTCAGGAGGCAGGAGAATCGTTTAAACTGGGAAGGCAGAGGTTGCAGTGAGCCGAGATTGTACCACTGCATGCATTCCAGCCTGGTGACAGAGCGAGACTCTGTCTCAAAAAAAAAGAAAGGAGGAAGGAAGGAAGAGAGGGAAAAAGGAAGGGAGGGTGGGAGGCAGGGAGGGAAGGAAGGAAGGAAGGAAGGAAGGAAGGAAGGAAGGAAGGAAGGAAGGAAGGAAGGGAAAAAAAGAAAATATATATTGAATTACATGCATGTATTGTTAGTTTCACAATGGATGGATTACTTTAGCACCACTCCAAATGCTACTTCTTTTTTTGAGGTGCAGTTTTTTGACATATTTTTTACTGACAAGTTGTTAAAGTGCAGTTTATTAAACTGACTAAGAATATCTTTAAAAAATGAAAAGATTAACACTACCACAGGAAAAGTTGTATATATATTAATAGATATTACAGAGGCCAATAGAAGTCAGCTACAGCCAGTCAAGTTCTATTGTGTCAGGACCTTTGGCTTTTTCTTTCCATCACAAGCATCTGACAGATGAAAATTATTCAGATTCTAAAGAAGACTGGGCTCTCACTGAATTAATTAAACTCAATGAGCACAAAGCAAAGCATATAAATTAGTCAGGCAGAGTGATAATAATCAGAAGTAAATTAGATTAGACAAAGTGTTAAAAAGAAAATGAAAATGAAATCCAGTATTATACCAAATGGCCTGTTAGGTTAACTTCATGAATAGTTGTTCTGGTTTTGTGTGGTTTCAGATGGATTTATGCTGGGAGACATTCTGTTTTGGTCCTGAGAATACTTGGTATTCTCTGCTGTATGTGCAGACTTGAACAGACTGGACAAACAGCCTTGTCCCTCTTACTTTTGTGTGCAGTCCTAAGTGGCTAAGTGACAGTGCTTTAGAAATGTGGTCTGTGATGCAGAGAGCATGAACTCGCAGTTCCCATACCCAGTGAAGGGCCTGTTCACTTCAGCTCAGTCTTCACCATCCTGCCAACTGGCCTGGACTCCACTATGGGCAGATGGACATGACTCAGAAGGCCAATGAATTGGGGAGGAGAGGGTTCTCACAGCTGATTAAAGCATTTCAAAGCCCTGAGGCTTTTACCCTCTAACTGCCCCCTCCTCCTGCTCCCTCACCAAGGCTAATTGGGTTAGCTTATTTTTTCCTCTTCCACCAAAAGCCTTTCTTTGCTCTTTTGTGACATATTTTTTCCTCCAAGCTACTTGTGACATACCTTTCAGTGATTTTTATGTCATTGAAAGAACTGGGAACAGAGAGAGGCTGATCCAGGGGGATTTATCTGGGGCTCTATATTTTGTTTAGGAGGGGTTTATTTTATAGGCTACCACATTGGTATTAAAAATATTTTTTTAAAGAAAGAATTGCTACAACAAAAATGTAGATTTGTTAATAATAAGAGATGAATTCACTTATCCATTTAAGAAGCCTCTCAGTGTGGCACTAGCTTTATAGCACCAACTAGAAGTCGGAGTTGGTTCTCTAGCCACGTTCCCTGACTTTGAATCCTGACCTTGCCACTCAATAGCTGTGTGAGCTCAGGAAAGTAACCCAGTCTTCGTGTGCCTCAGTTTCTTCAGTTGTTTACTAGGGTTACAAGAATAAAATGAGTTACATGTATAACACTTGGGAGAATGTTTGGTTTGTTAGCACTCAATAAATGCTAAATATGTTTCTTACTGTAACAAAGCATGCTTATTTCCAATCTATACACAACTTAAAATTTATGAAGCCTTCTTCCCAAAGGAACACATATTAAACCAAAAAAAAAAAAAAAAAAAAGGAGAGAGAGAAAGTTGAAAATAAAAGAGAGCAAAAATCCATTAAAAAGTTGAGAGATGTACTGGTACCAAGTACTGGAATGCATGTAACTGCATGATGTGGACCCTAAGTAGACAGCCCTAAAGCTTGCTGGTTTATATAATTCTCTTTGATAAAAGGATGCAGGTAGCTTTTTCTTAAGAAACAAAACTTTTAAAGCACTGAATGCTAAGAGTCATTTACTATGTGGATGCTTAAATTAGGAGCTGCAAAGAACAAATCAATTTCAATCTAAAAAAATATGCAAATGACAAAATTATAGGGATACAGAAAAGATTAGGGGTTTCCAGAGATTAGAGGTGGTGGAGGGGAGGGTATGACTTTAAAAGGGTGGCAGAAGGGAGATCTTTGTAGTGATTAAACAATTCTGTATCCCGATGCAGTGCTGATTATATGAATTCGCACATAGGATAAGATGGCATAGAATCATATACACACACTGCTCAGTGTCAGCTTCTTGGTTTTGGTATATTATAGCTACAAGATGTAACCATCAAGGAAAGCTGGGTAAAGGGTGGAAAAAATTCTTACTATTTTCCTAACTTCTTGTGTATTTCAAAACAAAAAGTTAAAAAGAAATATTCTTCAAATGGGTATTACTTACACTGCCATAAAAATGTTGTTATGTTGTTGCATGGTTGGCTTGAGTTGTATTTTTCTTTGAAAGAGTCATTTTCCTTAAAATATTTTCAGTCCCTACCCAAAATCTCAGAGAGACCTTGCCATATCCCTTAATCACATAATCCAATTTTAAAGTTTATATCAAATGTCCATTTTCCTTCCAGGCTTGCATTTTCCTGCCAGTATTGGCAGGCCAACTGTGATCCTCTCAAATTCCCACTGAAACTGTGATCCTCTCAAATTCCCACTGAAACTGTGATCCTCTCAAATTCCCACCGATCCATGCTCATCCATTTGCTCACTATCTCTACCCATGTGGAAGCAGTCATTTCAATTCTGGACTCCCCTGATTTATATCAATATTTCTGGATTACTTTCTATGCCAAGATTTCATTTATGTATTGTAATGATCTTTTGCTCTCTCTGCCTTCCTCTTTTCAGGTCAGCTGTTCTCTGGTCCTTAGCACTTGAAGTCTCTAAGACTCTCAAAGAGGCAAGCATTGAGTTGATCTGAACTTATCCAGCTTGCTGAAAGGTATAGGTCACACATTTATAAGGGGACATTTTCATTACATGATAAGTTAGGAGCCACTCCAGATTATCGTCACATTAGCCAAAGGGGTACTGATCCTGTTTCAAGCACCAGCATCCACTCAGGATGTTGCTCTCTGACTCGGAAGATGCAAGGACATACCTTTCACCTGCACAAAGTCGAGCTGGTGGATGGATTGCAGCAGAGGGCTGTTGTCCAGACTCAAGTCAAAGTCCGTGGTCATCCTTGGAGTGAGTGTGCCTTTACCCCACTGATCCTCAGTGAGGTGCACTCTCCTTATGAGGGCGTCAGAAATCTAATCAGATCAAAAAGACAACAGCCTAAGAAATACACCACCACACTCGAAACACAGAACTGCTCCTTGGCTGTCCAGGAGCATTACTCCCAAACTGCCTTGGGACTCATACCCTGACTGCCTCAGTGCAGTTGGTGAGGAAGAACCCACTGAGACTAGGGTGACCCATGATTTCAAGCAAATCTGAACACTTTTGTGAGTTAGGGGGCACTATAAATAATTAGCAGGTGAGCCGGGTGTGGTGGCTCACGCCTGTAATCCCAGCACTTTGGGAGGCTGAGGCAGGTGGATCACGAGGTCAAGAGATTGAGACCATCCTGGTCACCATGGTGAAACCCCACCTCTACTAAAAATACAAAAAATTAGCTGGGCATGGTGGCGCGCGCCTGTAATCCCAGCTACTCAGGAGGCTGAGGCAGGAGAATTGCTTGAACCCAGGAGGCAGAGGTTGCAGTGAGCCGAGATCATGCCATTGCACTCCAGCCTGGGCAACAAGAGCAAAACTCCATCTAAAAAAAAAAATTAGCAGGTGTTAACTGATCTAAAAGACAAATATGAATATATGATCATGCTATTTATGACAAATTTACTAAATGTCAACAACTTTAAAGGGCGATATGTTGGAAACTAGTTCATTTCTATTAGGATCAATAGCTCAACCCTTCTAATTTAAAGTGTGGGCATCCTATCAAAACTTGGAAATGAGTTTCATAACATAGTTTAGTGAGGGTGCATATGGAATTTCTCACATTTTAAGCACATCATCTTCATGTGATTATCATTGTATTCTTTGAGAGAAAGCTCTTTCATTTTTTGTATTCAATCTCCCTCTGTCACTTGTGACTAGTTTAGTAGAATGTGACTTGGAAGAAATCTACGTGTTCCTCAACAAAAGATTCCTTATCATTGGGATCAAAACTTAAGTAAAATCCAGCTTATACAGCATCTCACTAAAACAATTGACACTCAAGAATGAGAAATCTCTGTATTTGAGAAATCACTGACTTTCTGGCCAGTAGGAGGTGTCAAGAAGGTAAACATCTTACGCACTTAGACATTTAGACATCTGACAACTGTCCAAGAGACATTAATAAATGACTGAATTCTTGGGCAAGGCAATAACTCCACTTTGAAAGAACTTACAGACAATTATGTTTTCATGATTAAACACAAGAATAAAAAGAAGCAAAACAAACAAAAAAAGTCCATGCATCTCCTGACTACTCCAGGAAGTAGTCAGTGGAGTTTACTTAGCAGGCGCTCCCACGTACACTGCAGTATGAAGGTAGGTTCTGTTATCGAGGGATCCAGGCCCAGCCAGGGCTGTTGGAAATCTGACTTAAGCATCCTAGACTATGTCCTATGGGACATTTAGAATCTGAAGAAGAAACTAGTTAACTCTTACCTGCAAAAAGCCACTAGGATCATTTTCCTTAATCACCTCCAAGCAGTACTCCATGAGACCTGTGGTCTGGCGCAATTTCACTGTGCAGTGAGAGATCTGATCTCGAACCACCTAGGATTAAAAAGAGAACAGGATGGTCCAAAATGGCAGAGGGTAGAAGAGAAGCAAATTGGACCATTGGAAAGCTTCTTCAAACCAGAATCCATTCCATCCTGGAATGGAACTAAATTTATGAGACTATTTTGTAGCAATGTCTGCTGTGGATAAGGGCTCTGGAAGACAGATGGGATAAGATTCACAGAGGAAACTGGCAACAACAGGACCCATCAGAAGGGAAGGCAGATCGATTTTGGAACCCTAGATCTGGTGACTTTGGAGCATCAAGGAATACCTTCCAAAGCTCCTCCTTGTCCTGCTCTTTTCTGTGAAGCTGACTCTGCTGTGCGAAGTTTTCTGGGTGTCTGTAGAGGAGCTGTAGCTCCCCAAGGTTTGGCTGCAGCTGTGCTTCTAACACTGTCTACCTTCAGCACCCTCAACCTTAAAGAGCAGATACCACCATCTGAACCCAGTTCCTGTCCTTTCCTGCCCCTCCCCACAGCCCCATGGTCAATTGTTCTGTATCTTTTTCCTTGTGTGGGTGATGGGGGACCTGGAGGGCCAAGGTGGAGCTTGGGAGAGACAATGAGCTAATGACAAGCTGGAGAAAGAAGACAGATACAGAATTAAGTTTTAAGAATAACCCAGCGAAGCCACTGCCTCATTTGGAGAACAGTTGTAAAGACTGCTCATTTGCCAAGCTGTGAGTCTGCTTTAACCTACATAGGCATCTCTTTGAGCAAGTGGTTTCTGTCTCCAAGAAGCTGTCTGTGTTTAGTGATGAATACATGACATTCCTTGAAAAGTTTTTTCTTCAGAGGTATTTATCATGTGTCCTCTGCTCAGTAACCCAAATCTTGAATGCCCATATATTTCCAAAGATGGGGTCCTGCCATATTGCCCAAGCTGGTCTTGAATTGCTGGGCTCAAGCAATCCTCCTGCCTCAGTTTCCAAGTAGCTGGGACTACATTGCACCTGTCTTTGAATGGTTTTTGAAGGGTCAAATTGAAGAAGGGTTTTCCAGGAACCATAATTACTCACATCCTCAATATTTATACTACTTTGCAAAAGCCTAAAAAATATCTAGTATTTTGGATTTTATGGATAATAACCAAAAGAGATTCTAATAATTATTTTAAAATGCTCCTTGTTCCTTCTTTTCATTTTTGGTTATAAATTTATTTTCCATTAAAATTATTTCATCCACTTTCTAAAACAAGCAGGAGATAGATGAAAAAAGCAAATACTCTTATCATTCTAATGTAAATTTTTAAAGTATTTTGACATTTCTTTTTGGTTTTTCTCTAGAACCAGGCCTATTTATTGTTGCAGTCATTGTGTATGGCAATTTTACCTTCCCTTTCCCTCAACTTAATACTGTAACACAGGCATTTTTCATGTTGCCACCATCAATGGTTACAAAAATATCCTATTGAATGGGTAATCTTAATTTGTTTAATCATTCCTGTTCTCTTATTATTGGACATTTAATTTCTATCTAATATTTTGACAACTCATTCATTCATTATTTCTGATTTTTTGCTCCTAATGTTTTATTGTGGCAAAATATACGCAACATGACATTTTCCATTTTAACCATCTTTAAGTGTATAATTCCATGGCATTAAGTACTTTCACATTATTGCGCAACTATCACTACCATCCATCTCCAGAACATTTTCATCTTCCCAAATTGACTCCGAACCCATTAAACGTCTCCATTTCCCCTTCCTCCCAGCCCCTGGCAACCACCATTCTACTTTCTTTTTCTATGAATTTCACTATGCTAAGAACCTCTTACATAAGTGGAATCATATAACATTTGTCCTTTTGTGATCAGCTTATTTCACTTAGCGTAATGCCTCTGAGATTCAACCATGTTGTAGCGTGTGTCAAAATTTTCATCTTAAGAGCAAATAATACTCTGACCTATTTTGTTTATCCACTCATCCACTGATGAATATTTTCAACTACAATGAATAAAACTATTATAAACACGAGAGTACAAATATCTATGTAAGTCTCTGCTTTCACTTCTTTGAGGTACTACACCCTGAGGTGGAATTGCTGGATCATGTGGTAATTCTACATTTAATTTTTTCAGGAATCACCATACTGTTTTCCATGGCAGCTGTACCATTTTACATTCCCACAGCAATGCACAAGGGTTCCAATTTCTCCACATCCTCACCCACACTTATTACTTTCTCATTTTTAAAAATATAGCCATTGTGAAGGTATAAAGTGGTGTCTCGTTGTGTTTTGATTTGCATTTCCCTAATGGCTGGTGATGCTGAGCATATTTTCATATATTTATTGGCCATTTGTGTAGCCTCACTGGTAATCAGGTCTTTGCCTATTTTTAAAACGGGTTTGTTGTTGTTGTTGAGTTGTAGGAGTTCTTTATATATTCTGGATATCAATCTCTTATCAGATATATGATTTTCAAATATTTCACACTGTTGTGTGGGTTGCCTTTTCACTCCTTGTGTCCTTTGAGACATAAATATTTTAACTTATTGATATTTTCTTTTGTTTCCTTTGCTTTTGGTGTCATATCTGCGAAATCATTGACAAACTCAATATCCCAAAGCTTTTCCCCTGTGTTTTCTACTAAGATTTTGCAGTTTTAGGTTTTATATTTAGATATTTGATCTATTACAAGGTAATTTTTGGATATGAAGTTGGGTAAGTGTCTAACTTTATTTTTTTTTTTGCATGTGGATATCCAGTTTTCCCCACACCATTTATTAAAAATACTGCCTTTTCCCCATTGGATAGTCTTGGCAGCCTTGTGGAAAATCATCTGAGCATGTAAAAGTTTATTTTTGGATTCTATTCTGTTACAGTGGTCTTCATGCCAGTATCCACTATTTTGATGACTGCAGCTTTGTAATAAGTTTTGAAGGTAGCAAATATAAGAACTTCAACTTTGTCCTTCTTTTTCAAGATTGTTTTGGCTATTTAGGTCGCCCAATTTTCTGACAGATGATTTGTTATTGCTTTTTAAATTTTAATAATAATTAAGTAAAATAAAATGTAGGATTAAAAATCTCTTTGTTGTCATTGGTGAAAGGAAACAGCTCTGATGGAAAGATTACTTGTGTGAATTTTGGGAGCAATGAATTAAGTTCGCAGGTTGATTTATTTTCTTCTCACATCCAGTACGCCTGACAACCACCATCACCATATGTTCGTCTGGGCTCAATGAGTGCAAATTATTTTATTTTTTATTCAGAAAATAACGGGAAGGTTAGGCTTCTGTCTCTTGGGGAGAAAAAACCCCACATGTGAAACATCTAAAAATTAAAGAGTGGTGGCCTACAGCTAATATGCTATTCCCCTTTGTGGTATGAGGCTGAACTAACTTGTTATCAGGATGACATTTTTTATATTTTGGTAGCCAGTGTATTGGTGCTGCTAGGTAGCAGACACCTCCACAGTCATCATTTCATTATCTAAATGACACTTGCCCTTTGACTATGGGTACTGGAAGTCTGAATAGCAAGGACAGATAGAATCTGAGCACTATAACCCAGAGTCCGTCTGCTTTTGATATAAAATAGACTGAATGATTGTATTTCCTTTCCAGAGGATTCAGTTCAATGATGCATTAATGTACTGAAATAAATACATTACTCAGTCCTCATAAAATTCCATGTTTGCTTCTATAAATTTCCTTATCAAGCATGGTTTACTGGGTGCTGAAGGAGCTGTCTGAGTGTGGGGCTCTCTGCTGACTGTAAAGAAGCTTAATTGTTGCACTGCCAAATTACCAGGGAGTTTCAGCAGGGGTTTGCTGTTGGCTCCTGTATTCTATGAGTCAGGCTTCTTGGAAGGACTCAGTATTCCTGAGTTCCTGGCCCTCACTGTTGATACAGTTGATTTCAGTCCACCTTTTTACATTTTAATCAATCATTCACAATGATCACAACAGCCTGTGATAAAATCACTGCTTAAAATTAAACTACAGGGTTCCCAGAGAAGCATTTTTGGTGCCCTGTAATTAACTTATATTTTCTGAATTAATTTAGCAAGATTTCCCACATTATAGAAATCAGCCAGATTATCTTGAATCAGATCTTTAAAGAGCATAAATACTTTCACTCTACTTGTCTTTATCAACTCTTACTTGCTACTTTCTTCAACCTGTGTTACTCATACCACATTTTGTGGTGATTTATTTCTACATTGAGTTTTTCATGGAAAATGATTCCCAGAAGCCAGGCCACCTCACTGTTGTCTTTGAATGACACATTTCTGTGCTTTGGCTCTGATGTGCCAGAGGACCCTGTGGCATCACGTTTGCAGTGGGCTGGATTCAAGAGGTCCTCTTCTCAGGGAGAGTGCAAGTTGCAGAATGACACAAATAGAGCCTGAGAGACAGTCTTCCTGCTTTCATCTGCACTGAAGCCTAAACCACCTCCCACCAGACAGTGAATTAATCCGTAGTCCACAGTTTCAGAGAAGGCTTTTTAAGTTTTATCAGCAGAGCCACCATCTGTTCTGGATGGCAAGTGCCTATCGATCATTGGAACAGTTTTATTTTGTTAAGTGGAAGATTTATAAAAGTCATTTATTGGGTCAGGATATAACACTGACACCTATTTGTTAAAAGAGAGTCTGAAGGACTGTTGTGTCCCTTTGAATTCTCAGACACTGTCAGTAGCACAGAGCAACCCAGGAGAGAGTACACAATACACAGGTAAAATTTTGTCCTGCTTGTCCACAATTACATTCCCATCACTAACAGGCCAATCTCCTTTCTCCAGTCAGTTCTAGTGATACAACCAGCAGCAAGATTTGAGGCTCATTAAAGGGAATTTCATTCCTAATACAACCATGACCTTGACACCTTCCCCCACCTTCACTTACCTCTACATTTTACATGTGGTTCTTTCAAAATTTTTCTTTACGCTTTTTAAATAAATGCCTTTTTCTTTCTTTCTTTCTTTTTCTCTCTTTCTTTTTTTTCTTTTTTTCTTTTTCCTCTCTCTCTCTCTCTCCCTTTCTT